CTGAAGTGACGTCATCATGACGTCATCGTCTGATTTTTTATGATTTTTTCAAATTTTAATATTTTCTTCAAATTTTGCAAAAATTATATAAAATACGGTCCGATCAACTTCAAACCTGGCACACGATTAGACCACCATCTGAAGATTCAGGTCGAATCATGACGGCATCATGACGGCATCACGTGTCACTTGACATCATCCTAAAACTGCATAGTTTAAGTCACTATATCTAGAGAACCTGAGGTCCGATTGGGTTCAATCTCGGTATGCAGATATTCCAGGAAGTGTTATAGACAAAAATCGCAGTGACGTCATCATGTGATTTTATATGAATTATTCAATTTTTTTGACCTTTTATTCATATCTCATTAATGGAACGTGGTTAATTTGAAATTCTTTTTTGCAAAAGGTTTGTTAGGTCGTAGATAGATACAGAAAATTTTCAAAAATGTGTGCCGTCATCATGACGTCATGAAAAATGTTTTTATTTTTTACATAGGATGGACACTTTTTGTATAGAATACGCATGTACATGTTCATTCGACCTGGATGAAACTCCTTTACAGCAGTCCTTAATAAAACGGTCGAAACAGCTCAGTGTTTGTCCACAAACACATTTCTAGTTTTTCTTTTTTTTTGGCTTTTCCGCATAGTTGCGGAAAAGCCTTTCTTTTTGTTCTGATTTTTTTTCTTTCTTCTTCTTCCTCTTCTTTTTTCCCCAAAAGCCCATAGACTTTGTACAGTCGGCTCCCGTTATAGCGAAAACCACGGGACCGGCCAAAATGTTCGTTGTATCCGAATTTCGTAATATCCGATACAATGTTTCCCGTCCATTGTTCACCTTGAATTGGCCCTATTGTGCACGCTTGTGAACGTACGTAATGTACCCAATGACTTTTTCTGTTTGAAAGCAATTAAGAACATGCTCTCTATGATGTGATTTGTCAAAAAAAAAAATGTTTAATGTACCAAACGAAAATAAAATAAACATTACGAAGATCTGACGTTTCATTGCTTGATCATCGATGAGGAAGAAGTCCACGGCGGATGACCTGGATCACTTCGATGTTCAAAGTAAGTAATCTCCCCAGCACAAATTGTGTCATGGAGAGACATTTAAATTGAATTGTCCTTTCATCTTGCAGATTTCAATGTGACAATGTGATAAGCGTTTTCAAGCACATGGCCGAGAAACCTTTGTCATTTACGTTCCAGATTTTCCGGTCCGTCCGTGATCTGAGTAGATTTTACAACTTGGTAGAGTGCCCTCATGAGTCAGTGTCCTAATGAGTGATGATGTCATAATCTTACATCGTGATTGGATATTAACGTCTGACGACTTCAACGTCACGCAAGCGGACGAGCTCATTGGCGTGCACTAGTTCATTTATTCATAGCTTTGCATATGTATGCATAATGTCCAGCGTTGATGGTGATCAGTTTCGTATCGTCCCAGCAGGTTTCCTTTTTTAAAAGTTACGAAATAGCTTAACGTATTTTGTGCTGGTGCTCAAATGAATAAGTTTTTTAATAAGACAATTTTGGTTATAATTTAATAAATAATTTAAGAAAATATTTTTTTTGGGAGTGGGGGAGTAATTTACGGGAGGTCGTGAATAATTTTGAATGAAACTACATTTTGGAGAATTTTGGGATAGTCTAAGATTGTTTATTTTATTTTGGATTTGAAATGGGGTGCTTTGTAATTTTTGTTTAACCTTACATTTTTTTTTTAAATCAAATCAAATCTGTGCCGGGGAGGGAGAGGGTAAATTATGTTTTATTTAATTTCCAATTTTTTATAAGGGGTTCTATTTGGGGGAGGGGGATTATTTTTATTTGCTCCGGGTAATAGGGTGGGGGTTCATTATTTTTATTTGAGTCGGGATTCAAATCCCTTTGTTGAAAATGTGGTGGCTCTGAAAAGAGCCGTTTGGTTTGATTTATCTGGAAGGTGATGTTACACCTTGAAGAAGTCCGTTATCTTCCCCTGTGACATCTTGTCTTGCTGCCTACTGGAGAGGTACTGCAGGATTGCAGCAGCGTGATCATAGACATCGTCGTCCATGTCGGGCTGGCTGCAGAGAGATCGCCCCGAACCTGGTGCATTAGGCTCAGGCAGTCGGTGACATTTCTTGGCCGTTGTTCCTCCGTTGGCGGCTCCATTCACGAAGGTCACGTCTTGGATGAATGTCACAATGGCGATGTGCAAGTGGTGCGGGTGACTGGCACTCGTCATCGGAACCCTTTGATGATGGGCCTTTGTTGTTAACCGGCAGAATTAGGTACAAATTGGGAAAGCCCATTCACAAAGGTCGAAGTAGGTCTTTGATTAATGGCACAATGGCGATGTGCAAGTGGCTCGGGTGACTGGCACGCGTCTTTGCAACACTGCGATGACAGGCCTAACTGCATCGCGGGATTAACTTGACTGTGCGCCGGCAAACCGATTAGCACCTCCATCTGAATACATCTACGTCGGCAACATGAAACTACTCACACAAGACGGACACCTGCTGATTACTAATACATTGTACTGCTTTCAAATTGAACGAAAAAAGCCGTGAGCCAGGATTACCTTTCGTTATAAATGGGTCACTAACAATGCATTTTTACGCAACCGGGTCGCCAAAACCTTTCGCTTTAACAGGAATTTCGTACCGTCCGTTTTCGTCTTAACCGAAATTTTCCCCATAGACATGTGCACATTTTTGCCGGGACCGAAGGTATTTGTTTGTAATAACCGGAATTTCGTTCTAGCCGTTTTCGCTATAACGGGAGCCGACTGTACACGTTTATTCTACACGCCACTTTTGCCATTAAACTTTGTTGCATATCATTCAAAGTTTGCATACATGTAGGCATAGTCCATACAACATAGATGTATGCGGACGAGCGACGTCATGATGACGTCATCAACTAATTTATTACAGATTTTTGAATATTTAATTTTTCCCATAGACTTTGTACCTAGAAATTAAAAAAAATTGTCGATTTTCAAAGGGCATTTTTGACTCTTTGTCAGTAATTCATTTACACAAATCTTTGTCCAAGCAAAGACCCTAATTCAAACAACATTGTGTAATGATGACGTCATGATGACGTCATTCGGTGTTTATTTATGGGCAATTAAATTGTGACACTTTCAATTTTTAAAAATGCATAAGAAATCAACCGTATGCGTCCGTAGCATTCTGTTGCCGGCAAGTGGTAGAGTAGGTTGAGCTCTTTATTTCATTCAGTGTGCGTGAAATCACGTGACCCTTGCTTCCGTTCGTAAAAGGCCAAAACCGGAAGTGGCTTATTATTTAAAAGTGGTAATAGATATGAACTTGCTTTCAACGGTGGTAGTCTCTTGGCTGATGGTATTCTTCAAATCATCTACCGATGACGTCGTGTATTCTTCGAGCGCCCTCTAGCGACAGGTTGAAAAAAAATTTAAATGTATTTTGAATAGATGTCTGTGGCAAAGTTTGTCGGAATCGCCTAAATATTGGTGTATATAATAACCTTGACCCATTTAAGACGTGTGCGAAGTTTTAGGCGTATGACGTCATCAGACCGGTAGTTTTAATGAAAAGACCCGTTTTCCTTTGAAAATTCCTGAAAAATCAACCATGGCAGTTTTTATATTAGTTTTTACTTTAATTGTCGATTTAAGGGTAGGTCGAAAACATTTCAAAGCTTCGAGGCAATAAGCGAACTCAGACATGCCCTGCACACGCTTAAAACTTCAGGTTGACAACACCTCTGCTTTAAAACATGCACAGGACGTCCACAATGTAGATATGTACATGCACGTACGTTGTACATGTACATATCGTATGTCAGTCAGCCCGCAGCGCACGTGTTGCCGAGGTCAAATCCTGTCCACAGTGACCGTTTTAGCCGATTTTCGGCTAATTTTATGTTCATGCATAGTCAGGGACATATAACTGATAAAAACAAATCACAATGCGGAAAAGCCCTATGTTCTGTTGCAAACAGACATAGATTTCTAGTTTCTTTTTCCACTTTTCCCATAGGTTTTGTATACGTTTTTATTCTACAAGCCACTTTGGGAATTATTTTAAATCTGATTACATTGTAACTCTAAACTTGGCATAGTCATTAACCATCATCTGAGGATGTATGCCGAAACTTTTCGTCATCGTGATGTCATCAGGGGTCACGTGACATGGATTTGAATGTTCATTTTTTACAGCGTTATAACTATTGAACTATAAGGCCGATTGGTTTCAATCTCAATATGTATATAGTCAGGGAAGTGTTATAGATGAAAATTGATATGTCAAGGTCACGTGACCTTCACTTCCGGTTTTACCGGAAGTGGTAATTTAAGACCCTAATTACCATATCTCATGAATTATACATCTGATGGGATTGATACCTTATAATATGATGAAGCAACATTTAAGAAAAAATATGCTGCATTTTTATTACCGTGCAGTCTATTGTTCTGATGTTATGATGTCATGAATATTTAATGAGGCAATCTGTATGGTCTTATAACTATAGCACTGTTTGACCGATTGGTATCAAACCCGGTAGGCATATAGACAGGGAAGTGTTATACATGTAGATAAAAATCGGTATGTCAAGATCATGTGACCCCTACTTCCGGTGTTACCGGAAGTGTTAATTTTGGACCCTAACTAGCATATCTAATGAATTATAAATTTGATTGGGTTGACACCTTATATTAGCATTAAGCAACATTAAAGGATAAATATGTTGCATTATTATTAATGGAATGTTTAATGTTTTCATGTTGACGTCAGGAATATTTAATGAGGCAATGTTTATAGTCCTTTAATTTTAAAACTTTTTGACCGATTGATCTCCAACTACAAAGTTTGACTGGTTTCCATAGTGAACTAAAACAACACCAAACACAGACAACTTAGCAAATCAAATTTCACTGACAAAATAATACATGTACTGGTCACAATTTTTTTTCTGATGTACAGAAAACAGCCTGTGGGTTACTTTAGACTTACGATGCAGTTCTTCCGTTTCCCGATCCAGCTTTGCGGTGTTTAAGTCAGTTGTATGCTTTTTATTCTGGGCTGCACTGTCTGTGAAATGAATAAAAACAAAGGCTTGCTAAGGACACTGTATCCTGGAAAGCTCCGAACTGGGTTAGAAAGAACTTTGAAAAGTAGAATATAGACATTCACACAACCATACTTAAAAATTTGGTCGTTTTTGTGTTATTCTTGAAAGAACAAATTCTAGGGGTCAAAATTTTTAGTCTCAAAAATCAAGCTGTTTGGGTGCCAGTGGTAATTCTAGTTGCACATGTTCCTTTGAAACGTTAATTAGAAGATGTGTGTTATTATGGGCCTACTGGTAGTTTTCCATGGAAAAAAACCCACAAGGGTTTTAGATAAATCAAAATACCACAGCTTTGTCATTCTTCCTGGGAGTTTACTTGCGAGCAATGGAAACTTTTCTACTGTTGTAGCATACATGTATGCTCCCACGACTCAGGCCACTCTACCTGATGCATGCTATGCAGGGCAGGCAAAGATCTGGGGGGAGGGGGGGGGTTCAATTTCTGCAGAGACTGCGATATTGAATTTAGTGGCGTTCCACTGTAAAACATAACATTTTCGGCGATTTCAGGAGTCAAGACGATGTCCTCCTTTAATCCCAGTTATGCTATGACAATTTAACTGGCAACATTTTAGTGTTTAAAGGGGCAATAGGTCCTGAAATCCCCAAAAATTTCATGTTTTGGATTTACTATTTCATACATCTGGTTGAAAGGAAACCCACCTAATGTCTTACCGTTCCTGAGAAAAGACAAAAAAGCCCCGGTTGTTTACATCGGACATGAGGGAGTACAAATACGTTTTTCCTGTTGTTTTCAGTCAATGTACGATATACACATTGTGGGTGTCTATTATAACCTACGTATGTACCGGTATACAGCACCATGCTCGCGAACGGCGGTGACCAATCATCACTGCACAAAATGTGGTTTCTTACCTCACACAAGAGGCGAACACTTTACAGATGAAATCACAACTACTTGTAGCACCCAAACAGCTCGACTTTTTGGGGTCACAAAAGTGGACCCCGAAAGTCGTTCTCGCACGCATAATACAGGAATAACACCAAAAAAAACCAGTTTTTAAAGGATAGTTGTGTGGATGTTTATATCCTGCTTTTAAATGTTCTTCCCGATTAACATCATTTTGTTCAAAGCGCGTTTTGTAACCCAATTGGGCTGTTCCAGGTCGCAGTGTCCCTTTAAGGTTGAGTCTCACATATTTGAGGTATTATCGTAGAATCTTTAATTCACCATGCTACATATCATGCAGAGGGGGAGAATAAGAACATTCGAAAGTGCATCTTTATACCAAGTCTGTGAATTTAAACATTTAAATGTTAAAGTTTGATAGTTTTGGTCAAAGAATGGTTACCTGTTGAATTAGGCATGCATGCACTTACAATGGAATTTTCAGATGTTTGCTTCATCCTTGAAAATTACAAATGGGAGTCAGACAGACTTATATGTACAATGAACATGGTTCCTATAATAAATGAACATTTATGCTGCCATTTTTTTAAGGTAGGGTTGGGGATTGGGGGCTTGTTCTATAACTGCATATGTATCCCAATTAATTTAGCATTTAAAAGGATTGCTTACATTTTGTCCTTGTTTCCACTGCTTCACCTCTTCTCTTTGCACTGTTTACAGCCTAGCAAAACAAATCAACAACTAGACCATTCAATATGCCATTTATATAAAATAAAAAAAACAGAAAAACTCAATCAGGGTAGAACTGTTTTCCCTCCATCCTTCCGACACAAATACTGCACGACTCCATCTGGTTTAGTGGCATGTGTGGTACAGAAAAAAATTGCGACACGTATAATTAAAGCACCAAAATTTGCACACTTATTGTGAAAACCCCAGAGAAATAATCTAGAGGTGGTGCCCGATTTTGATGGCTTAGATCAAGGTCAGACCAAGGTCAAAGTTCAAACGGTCTAATACTGTATAAATACCTCTTCCCAGGTGCTAACTTTATTGCAAATCTCGTTTTTCAATAGGACACTTTCTTCCTGCACAGTAGAACGCCGCTATAACGAACATCGGGGGATCCAAAGAAAATGTTCGTAATAGCGATCATTCGGTGTAGCGATTATCAGCCGCTGATAGATTAAAATGGAGTCTGTCCGTTTAAATAGCACCCTCTTGTGCCCTACTTGAAGTGCGCCCTCTTTTGACTGGACTTTTTTTGCCGCTTTGATGCACAAAATTGTTTCTTACACTGTACTTCTAAATTTTATAAAAATGTGTTTATTTATTTAAGGATTTCTTTCTTAATATTGTGCTTGTAAAGTTGTATTAAGTAAAAATATGAATGGAGAAGTTAATAAAATCGACACAATAAACAAAAACAATACAGAGAAAAGACGCACCTTTGGAAATTTTCGTACTAGTTGTTTTTTTTTTATTTGGCACATATTTGGCGAAGCGCGTGCAAGCGTTGACACGACGCACGCGTTGCTTTAATTTGTCTGATAGGCACGCAACATTGTGTAGCTGTAATCGGCGCAGTGATTACAGCTGGCCGTACAGTACTATCGCAAGCTCTGTAGTAGAGCTTGCGATAGGACTGTACGGCCAGACGCAGTCGGGCTAAGCGCAGCAATACTGAGGCCACACAAGTGGGGCTGTCACGCCCCAACTATCGCATCGGTCCCAACTATAGTTGGGACTGTCCCAACTATAGTGCGGCAGTTGGGTCGGCCCAACTATAGTTAGGACTGGAGTTGCGCCGGATGCTTCATGCTTGATAGATCTTGTTGGATTAAATGTTCCGCGGCGCTGGCACCGTGTATTCGTCGTGCATGCATGCCGCAAGGCTGGCCGGTCACGTGGTACTGCCTAGTTGGATGAGTTGTCCAGCTGCTGGGTTTTATTATCCAGCAACATTTTGCAAAATTCAAAGATTGCCATGGCCGGCCAACTATAGATGGGCCCCACCCATAGCTAATGTCAAAGGTCCCAAGTCGGACATGTAAGCAGAGCTGTAGGGAATGTTTTATAATCGTACATCAATGTAAACTATAGTTGGGACTGCCAAATAAAAATATTGCAGTGGCCCAACTACAGATGGTCCCCACCCATAGATCATTTCATTGGTCCCCAGTAAAGTCAGATGTGTATTAGAGTTGTAGGGAATGTTTTATAATCGTACAGCAATGTACACTATAGTTGGGACCGCAAAATAAAAAGATTGGGGTGGCCCAACTATAGATTCGCCCCATCAATAGCTAATTTCAGTGGTCCCCAGTAAAGTCAGACGTGTATCAGAGCTGTAGGGAACGTTTTATGGTTGTACATCAATGTAAACTATAGTTGGGACACCGCAAAATAAAAAGATTGGAGTGGCCCAACTATAGATGGGCCAGCCCAACAATGGAACTTACAGTTGGGACCGTCCCAACTATAGTTGGGACAGGCCCAACTATAGTTGGGCCAGCCCAACTGTGGAACTACAGTTGGGACAGGCCCAACTATAGTTGGGACAGGCCCAACTATAGTTGGGACCGATGCGATAGTTGGGGCGTGACAGGGCTATAGAGTATAGGCCTAGTACTAGCAGTATTAGCCCAGGTGGACTCCCTTTCCTCCCTACGTAACGGAGGGAGTCCAGGGTATGAAGTGCTCAAAACCGGGCGAAAAAATTTCTAACCAATATTTTTAATATTTTTACCTTGTTGAAGAAGCCAATTATTACGTCATAGTATTCTATGTGTCCTTATATATTGGGCCGCTGGGTTCAGAAATTCCATATGCGATGCTGACCGACCTTAATCTGAAAAATAAACTCGAAAGCAACGTTAAACTTGTACGTGTTTGTAGACTCTTTTCATCAGTTTCTTCACCGCCGAGTCTATTCTAATCGTACATGATGTACGTCTGTGCAGCGTGTAGTCTGGTTCCCTAGACCGGACAATTATTCTCGACGCGCATATCACGTCTGGTCCGGGGGCCAGACTATGCAGCATGAATATGCAGTGCGCACGCGCGATTTGCTTAGTAACCACCCTCATACGCACGCGCACTTACTAGAAGGCGCGGTCGCTAATCCAATGACCGAGTGTGTTTTCGCGCCAGTTACCAAAAACACGTTTCGGCTTTGGTCATTGGTTGAGCCTTTTCGTGACATCGGTTCCAACCAAAACTAAACAAATGAGGGCGCTAGCGTACGTGCGCGCTTTCATACGCACGTACATTGTACATGACGTACGACTCTGGGAATAAACTGATGAAAAGAGACTACAAACACGTACAAGTTTAACTTTAACGCTGCTTTAGAGTTTATTTTCCTGATTAATGTCGGTCAGCATCACATATGGAATTCCTGAACCCAGCGGCCCAATAGGTAAGGACACATAGAAATTGAGGCGTGAAATAAGCTTCTGTAACGAGGTAAAACGTAACAAAAATCTGTTCCAAATTTTGGGTGGTCTTATGTAGAGAATTCTCACCCTGACGTTAGTCGTAATGCAATGAAGACTTCGTCCAACCTGGGCTATAGTAGTATAGGCCTACCTGTTGTGATTTAGCTTGTTTGGCAGTTGGAGCCTTCTTCCTTAGGTAGGTAACTTGATCCCAATCTGCTTCAGCCATGGTTTAACTGCACTGTTCCTTAAAAAAAATCTGGAGAAGTCAGCAAATTTCTAAACATGCGTTCGTTACGACAATGTATTGGAACATGCATCCGCCAGACCCCCTAAAGCTACGCGGTTCTTTTTCTACGCATTTACCTTCAATTTGTGTGTGACAACGCGCGCGCGTGTACGTATGAACATTAACAAAGCGTGACCTACGCAGAAATGGAGGGTCGAGGATACTGTAGTCGTCAACCTCGTCCCCAGGGTGTCGAACAGTACGCGCCCATCACTACCTGCTCTCGTGGAAACCAGGTTGGAAATAAAGTAAGGACTGGGGACGAGGTTGTGTAGTCGTGTGCTCGCTCCATTATATCCATAATGTTGTGCGCTATCTTGCCATTTGCGCCATCTGAATAATGTGTTTGCGCATTCTTATGATTGCGCAACAAGAGAAGCGATCTTTTCGATGCCGAGAACCGGCGCACCAACCTCGTTCCCATTGCTTACTTTATTTCCAACCTCGTTTCCAATAGTAAGCGCTGGATAGGAAATTACCTTGCTAAGTCATACCAACCTTGTCCCCAGTGCCTACTTTATTTCCAACACGGTTTCCAATATAGCCTTGACCAAGGCTATCAGTTCCCATTCGAGCTCAACCTCGTCCCCAGTGCTTATTTTAGTTCCAACGCAACCTCGTCTCCAGTGCTTACTTTATTTCCAACGTTGTTTCCAATAGTAAACCCTTGATAGGAAACTTCCTTCCTGCATCCTGGGGCAAGTTCGCGCAAGGACTATAGTTAACCATTGGTCGACTAACGCTTGCCCGAACTCTGTCTAGTCGACGATGGTTGACTACTCTAGTCGACTATTGGAACCAGCCTACTGAGGTTGGTTGCTTCGCTGGTAACCAATAGCCGCGCGCATTCATAACGCTAGCAGAGAGCCAGGATCCAGAAGTTTTGCGATGCCATGGCCAAGTTCGCGCAAGGACTATAGTTGACCAATGGTTAACTAACGTTTGCCCGAACTCTGTCTAGTCGACAATGGTTGACTACGCTAGTCGACTATTTGGAACCAGCCTACTGGGGTTGGTTGCTTCGCTGGTAACCAACAGCCGCGCGCATTCATAACGCTAGCAGAGAGCCAGGATCCAGAAGTTTTGCGATGACATTTTGACCAGCGTTTGACTAGAGACGTTCGCACGTTGCTACCAGTGCGCAAGCGTAAGGTACGTCACAAATCAACCACTAGTCGACTAATGGTCCTTGCCCGAACTTGGCCCATTTTGACCGCGTTTGACTAGAGACGTTCGCACGTTGCTATCAGTGCGCAGGCGTAAGGTACGTCACAAATCAACCACTAGTCGACTACGGGTCCTTGCCCGAACTTGGCCATTCGATACCGCAATTCGCGCAATTGGCTAGAAATGGATTTATATCGTGTACTTGGTGTTGTTAATCACAACGTGCAGTACGTGTTTTCGCGATCATTCGTCCACGCCTTGTCGAAAATATTCATTTCCTTTCCAGTTTGTTAATATTAATATGAAATGTGATACTGCATGTTGTCTCGTTAAGATCGTAACAGTTTAATTAAAATAATTAAATGAATCGTCTTCGAACTATTCAACCACATGGTCTCAACATCCAACTTGGAAATGATTAATCCTTTTCTTCCTCCATTGTCTTCTGTTACAGATAATCCATCTGGTTTTTTTTTGTTGTTTGTGTTTACCCATCTTCCCCCATCTTTCATCCCTTTCCACCTCAATACTGTCCCCCCCCCCCCCGCATCATCCCTTCACTCTCACACTCTTTTGTCCGTTCCCACTCCCTGTGACCTTTGATCCTTCCCCTTTCTGGTCCCTCCCCTGTTTACACCAGACCCCTTGTGGTTTGCCATCTCTCTTTGTTCTCTCATCCACCCTCCCCTGCATCTTTCCACACCTTTCACACCTAATCCTCCTTTTGTGTTTCTTCTTTCAGCCCTGCATGTTTGTGTGCACCCCCATGTTAATGTATGTACCTCTGTCATTTCTGTTTTTAGCCTCTGAAGAAGAACTTGCTAAGTTCGCAACGTCAGGCCACATTAATTTTAAGATTTAATTAAAATAAAATCATGTTTTCGTAACTCACGCCATGCTCGCGCGCGCTGCGACGAATTGATTCTGTTTTTACCCCAGACACCGCATACAAAAACAAACGCAAATGTAACGCACAGGCAGGCACCAGACGACTCCTAATTTGCATGCGTGTTCACCGAGGCCAAGTTCGGGCAAGGACCATTAGTCGACTAGTGGTTGATTTGTGACGTACCTTACGCCTGCGCACTGATAGCAAAGTGCGAATGCCTCTAGTCGAACGCTGGCCAAAATGTCATCGCAAAACTTCTGGATCCTGGCTCTCTGCTAGCGTTATGAATGCGCGCGGCTATTGGTTACCAGCGAAGCAACCAACCTCAGTAGGCTGGTTCCAAATAGTCGACTAGCGTAGTTAACCATCGTCGACTAGACTTAGGCCAAGTTCGGGCAAGGACCATTAGTCGACTAGTGGTTGATTTATGACGTACCTTACGCCTGCGCACTGATAGCAAAGTGCGAACGCCTCTAGTCGAACGCTGGTCAAAATGTCATCGCAAAACTTCTGGATCCTGGCTCTCTGCTAGCGTTATGAATGCGCGCAGCTATTGGTTACCAGCGAAGCAACCAACCTCAGTAGGCTGGTTCCAAATAGTCGACTAGCGTAGTTAACCATCGTCGACTAGACTTAGGCCAAGTTCGGGCAAGGACCATTAGTCGACTAGTGGTTGATTTGTGACGTACCTTACGCCTGCGCACTGATAGCAACGTGCGAACGTCTCTAGTCAAACGCCGTCAAAATGGCATCCCAAAACTTCTGGATCCTGGCTCTCTGCTAGCGTTATGAATGCGCGCGGCTATTGGTTACCAGCGAAGCAACCAACCTCAGTAGGCTGGTTCCAAATAGTCGACTAGAGTAGTCAACCATCGTCGACTAGACGCGCCCACCACTACCTGCTCTCTCACCCCAACCTTGTCCCCAGTGCTTACTTTATTTCCAACCGCGTTTAGAGAGCAGGTAGTGGTGGGCGCGTACTGCTCGACACCCTGGGGACGAGGTTGCTCCTGCGCGCAAGGACTATAGTTAACCATTGGTCGACTAACGCTTGCCCGAACTCTGGGCAAGTTCGCGCAAGGACTATAGTTAACCATTGGTCGACTAACGCTTGCCCGAACTCTGTCTAGTCGACGATGGTTGACTACTCTAGTCGACTATTTGGAACCAGCCTACTGAGGTTGGTTGCTTCGCTGGTAACCAATAGCCGCGCGCATTCATAACGCTAGCAGAGAGCCAGGATCCAGAAGTTTTGGGGTTTTGGGAAACGCGGTTGGAAATAAAGTAAGCACTGGGGACGAGGTTGGCCTTGACGCAACCGTGGCGAATTCCTTATGTGTTTCTTTATAGTTTCGACCGAAATCGGCCGAGAATTTCTGATGCGCATATATTATACAAATATTGAATGCTTCGAGTGGTGTAGTAAAACTAGCCCCCCGAGGTGATCCATGGACATGTATTTCCCGAGGCGAAGGCGAGGGAAAATAGAATGCTCCATGGATCATTGAGGGAGGCTAGTTTTTAGTTCACCACGAGATAAAGCATTCAATATTTGTTTTATAACACTTCACCCACAGATCTGCTTGGTTATAATATTTACATTATTTAAATCTGAACACAGTTGAATAAACTTCAATTTCAATACAAAATTGGTGGAAAATGTATTTCTCTCTTCCAAAACTACCCCTTCGCTAAATGTTTGATTCTAACTCTGTTGCGCGCTCTCTTTGGAACAATACGCGCTACGCGCAACGCGCACATCAGCATGCATTTGCACACAAATGCTGCGCCGTGGAAATAGTACTTTGGTTGCTAATGGTATAGTACTTTGGTTGCTACGGGTATAGTACTTTTGGCCGTGCACAGAAAGATAGCAAAAATAGAAAGTATCATGTGACTCGCTCTCGGCCAATCAAGACACAGAATCTGCGGGTGAGGTGTTATAATATACAAATATTGAATGCTTCGAGTGGTATAGTAAAACTAGCCTCCCGAGGTGATCCATGGACCGTTCTATTTTCCCGAGGCGAAGCCGAGGGAAAATAGAATGGTCCATGGATCATCGAGGGAGGCTAGTTTTACTTCACCACGAGATAAAGCATTCAATATTTGTTTTATAACACCCCTTCACGAAATGTTTGAACCGAAGTCTGCGGCGCGCCCTCTTTGGAACAATAAGCGCTACGCGCAACGCGCACACAAGCATCCATTTGACCAGTGTTGTAGTCGAGACCGGATAGTCCGAGACCAAGACCAAGACCGAGACCTGAAGATTCGAGACCGAGACCGAGACCAGCCCCTTCAAGGCGGACCGAGACCGAGACCAATATGGACCGAGACCGAGACCAATATGGTCCGAGACCGAGACCGAGACCGAGACCACTGATAATGAATAACAATAGTCGAAATTAAAAAAACAAGACACGTTATTATAGTTGAAAGTTGTAACCTTTCTATTCACAAAGATTACAGACCAACATTTTGACCAGTGGCAGTGTTGACAAATTGATACATGACACCCTACTTGAGCAAAAAGTAGTTACAATTAAGAAATATGGGCTTTGACATGTTGTCTGCACCCAATCGAGACAAAAGTAAAAAGTTAAAGGCAGATGTTTCATCTGTTATAGGAACTCGGATCCTAAACTCCACAGTCACCCCTTGGTTTCAGCTATGACTTCTAACGGATATTTAAAGATGCAATTTAAATTTTACATTGTGCCTTTTTTTTCCTAAAATAAATATAGGACTTAACTTCTAACAAGACTTGTGTACTTGATTTTAAAAAGTGGGAGCTAGAAAATGTTGAATTAATTTTAAAATTTCTGTCATAGAATGTGGACTTATACATGTAGACCCACAAGTTGCGAGGTGGTAGCCAGAATGTGCCAGATATGGATTTTTAATTTTTTTCTGAACGGGATTTTAATTTTTGAGGAATAATGGGGTACTTCAAAATGAGCAGCCAGAAAATGGGGTCTCATTATACACTCTCATGGCAACAGTGAGTGGTAACTGGTAAGAGTGTGTGAGTTCAATGCTGGAAAATCAGGTAGGAAAATTTACTTTATCTTCAAAATACTGTCACAAATTAAAGAGAACATTGTGTGGGGTCGAAAATATA